GTGAATGAGCACTTTCCGGTCACTTGACTTTAACCATATAAAACATTTCTAAAATCGAAAACTCCACTACCACGCCAGAGATTTGTGAAACATATTGAAGTTCACAAAACGGTTAACCGTGAACTCACRGGGGGTAGTCAATTAAGTAACTAAGCACAGCGAAAATGTGCAGAGAAATAATGAATATTATTTTTTAATATTATTTTGTGGATGTAAAAGAATATTAAAATTAAAATACTCTATTTTATGCCAAAAAATAATAGGGTGATTTACAAAAAAATTMTATTTATTATTTTATTAATAAATACTAACAGAAATAATTATTGTACCTTGGCATAATATGAAACAGAAAAAAAAAGAAACGAACATAATATTATAATAACACGTAAATTATAAATATTAAGCTGAAAAAACCATTGAATCCAAACTTTGTAATAATTCTAGTTTTATTAATTTTTATTACTGGGTCATGAATATAATGAATATTCATYTTCGAAAGCTACCTAGGCCATTAGTGTTACATGACATGTAATTTTGTAATAATTCTATAATTTTATTAAAAATGATAACAATAAATTTATTTTTCAATTATTTATATGGGTGCATAAATTACTAAAATAATGTCTATATTATGCACTTCTAAAAACACAAAAAGTATGCAAACCTTATAAATCAAACATGTATTTATTTTATGACGTAGCGCTTGGAGGTATATTGAGTTATTATATACACCTCATTTAAATTAAAATTGATAGCTCGAGTGAGTTATTACTTAAATATTTCGTACGCTTAAATTATATTATACTTACATGTGCTTATCTTGATATGTACCTATACAAGTCCGGACCGTCTAATGCTCTACAGATTTATTTTTAATGAATAATTAATTGATTTAGCTGCTAGATTATGCCTAAGCCCGAGATCTCAAAATACAGCGATGCCTCGATCCGTTGAAATAAAATAATATTTATTCACAGGTATAATTATTGTTGTAGAATGATTGATTCTTTTCCCACAACATACAAGTCAAAACAGTCAAAATCTTCGTCAGAAGGCSAAGAATACGGTTTTTGTACAAAAAAAAAATGTAGGAATAGATCATATATACTATTATTATAAGTATTATGAGGTATGACAACATGTATTGTTTAAGGCGATAAGAGATCTGCCTCCATATTGTCCCTGCTTACACCTCCCCCCACCGTTTGACTTTGTAAGGATGGTTCGACATATACCGATATCATTTGCATCACTGATTAATGATTAGGTATATTATATTATATTAGTATTTATTATTATGGAATAGTTTGATTTGGAGAATTTAATTWAAATTTAATTTCTGTACAGTAACTTTCTTTTAAATTAGTAGTAAGAGTTCAATAATAACTAATATTGCAAATCATAATTTAAAATATTGATTGTTAAAAATAAAAAGCACACACCATTGTAAAACTAATGTGTTAATCACTCGGAATCTAAAATAATAGTTCAGCTAGGTACTTCAAAAAGAAAAAAAATACATATCTATAGGTAGATATTATTTAATTGAACGTGATCGTATTTAATATTAATTAATTAATGATTTTCAATAACAATTTCGAAATAAGATAAAGTTCTTAATAACATATTTTGTATTTTTTACTTAAAATCATATTTTAATAGGAATAGGTACATTTATTRATTTTTCATTACAATAAAATCCGTTTCTTAGTGATTGTATACATAAATCAAAAATTTGACATAACATCAAATTTAATCAGAATTTTAAAAATAAATTCACAGTTTGATCAAAAAAGTTTTTGCCATAATTTAAAAGGTGATGAGATGTACTCTACTGAATAATACAAACAGGTGACCCCAAAATCATCCCAAATAAGCATATTGACAGCTAAACAAATAGGTACCACTATACCAAGTACCTATTATGGGATAATTTTATTCAGGTGTAGTAATAATTCAAATTCCGTGATACACTTATATACATTTKATCAATAGTAAAAAAGCATGGACTTTGTGCAAGTACAGTTTCACTCATATTAGAGGAAATGCAATTTTTTTTTAATACATACCTCTTTAATGTTCAAATTAGTACGAAATTAGACTTTTAAACGAAGATATAAAATCCATGTAAATGTACTTTTAGCAACTGTGTAAAGTRTAGATGGTATCAAGTTCCATTAAAATTTGTTCTATTATGTTACCTACTTTAAAAAATGAAATTATATATTGCATTTTTTGGGAATTTTAGYATAAGAGTAACTCTGTAATGCTTATTTTACAGTTCATTTAGATGTTTGTGGATTAAATCCACAGCCTTAATAATAATATGGAATGAGACATGAGTAATGACATAGTACGTGTAGTACTTCGTACCTATAAATGGGCTATAGTTAGTTGTTACTTGTTTTTATTATTATATATGTGTAATAATTGTGTGTCCTATATGGTATATAGTATATACAGTTGCAACGCCAAGTTCTATTGATCCTAATATTGCTGTATTCTAAMAATGTAGATATGTATGTCATATTATGATGATATAATATTATACGTCATATCTGTGGACCGTGAATCCAATATTGCATAATAAATAATATGTATAAAAATTTAAATTTAAAGTAAAGCGTAAGTTATGAAAAAATGTGTGCCTCCTTCCACCAGATGTTTGTTATAGATCCGACCCTGATTTAATACACATAGGTGTTCAACGATATAAAACTGATAAACAAACAAAATTCAAATGACCATTTATTGAAAATTTACGCGATCATATAACACTATATTATTATAGTCGCTCTGTAGTTTTTATTGACGTAAATCATTTTGTGCACAATTCCAAAACAAAAAAAAGTTGACAAGTAGATGGCGATGGAAAAGTACTAAAGTGTAATTTACTATTGTTCTATTGTTTTACTATGTGAAATTTCATCCGGAATGCTACAGCTCATGTTAAGGTCAAGCATTATAATATAAGTAATATTATAAACTATAATGGTTCTATATATTAAGGCTATATAACACAGAATTTTTTTTTGTGATGGGGGGAGGGGGGGCAGGGGATCATCAAAATTTTGTTTCGTAAAAATGTTAATACTTTAAGTTCGATCTAAGTTTAAGCTATTTTACATACATTGTATGTATATAATAACGTCCAAAAGTCTACTATAGGCTATATAATGAGAGATAATTATTAATAAATGAATAAACTCAAAACGATAGACCCTTGTGGCCTCGACCATAGAGATAAATCTGGTATAATGATCGCGATTTGGTGACAAATGTACTCGTATAGATTTATATTTTATATACATATAGTATTTCATATTTAGAATAGGTACTTATCGGTAATAATAATTGTAAAAATGTATCTTTTTATTATTATTCGAATACGTTATTATTAGTTGAACAAATTACATTACATAGGAATAAGGAACTTGATTTCATAATACTCGACAATCAAACATAATATACACCATTGCAATATGGAATACTGTTTTTAAACTTGTTGATTTGAATTCGTTACAAATCCAACATCATATTTTAAAAGGATTTGGACTTTTTAAAATTAAAAATTGTTGTTTTATACTACCACGAATTCTATAAAAATTACAAATGGAGATTTTAAAATTAATTCTTATGGTATATGCAGAGGTAGCATCGATCTAATGTACTTTTATCGGTGAATATTTGAACACGTTTTCAAACATTAATTGGATAACACTCAATCGGCACTAAATCTTTCGTTTAAAAACAGAATAAACGTCAATATATAACATAAATATGTCATCTATATATGGTAAAAGTGAAAAGCTATTCGTCGTCAATCAATCGCAAAAACGGCTCGAYCAATTTGGTTCATTTTTTTTTTAAGTTCTTCATAGTCGAAATAAGTTTTGTACAGAAAGAAAAATTGGAAAACTACCCCGTAAAAAGTGCTCACATAAGGATTAAGAGATTTACACGGGAAAACGAAAATTTTTTTTGTTTATAAATTTCGTATTGCATTAGTTTTTTTCTTAGTACCTATCTTATATATTATAAAATATGTGTGAACTAAGGTAGGAATAACACTAAGACTATAAGATACTCCTACATAGGGATATATTTTATATTTGTTTACGGGCGAAGTCGAGTTATACAACTAAACATGGATATTTCAGGGTTATCCGGAGTTAATAGACTCAAAAACAACTTCCAACACAAGTTAAATCTGTATATAGGTTTTTTTATATTTATTGATATTCAGCCCGGAAACTATTATAGACTATGGCTATTAACTTTTGAAAGGATTATGGGGTTGGTTTGTATGTGTGGCAGAAATGTTCCACTAAGAACCGATCCAAGGGGTGGTCACCCAACTATGAACTAGAAGCAACGATCAGTGCTGAAACTAAGAGCACAGCAACAGTGATTGAAGCTAGACATCGAACCACACCAAGCCAGAATATAGGTTTCTCGAGACCTATATGGTATTTGTATTAYATTTTTTCAACCCCTAGGGTAGTTAAATAATAGCTCACGCACATGCATTTTTTTCAGCTTAATAAAAAAGAATTTTTTTTTGTTAATTTATATATGTTTGCAATTGGTTATAAACTATATTACCTGCTATTATAATTTTATTAGTATAAATATGAGTACCTATACCTACAATTCTTTACAAATTTATTTATAAAATCACAAATCTTTGGCACGGGCAACGCAGGGGYAGCTATTACATTATAATTGTATTACTCATTCAATAGATCCAGAAAATTGTCACTTTCAATKAAAATATTTATTCCTCAGTGTACTTTTATTATATATTATGATTATGTTTACTTGCTTACAGGTCTGCGTGGATTTGGGTAAGGGAGACGAAGACCTCAACATAACGTTTCCGATAACAATAGCAACTGTGCCGTTCAGGATACCAAACTGTAACAAGACTCCTCAAATATTTTACAGTAAGTATTTAGGTATATATCATGTACATAATATTAATGTTAGACATTACCTAGTTTAATTACCAAGTACTGTTTGGTCACTATAACCTACAGAAGTGTATTTGGTGCGGGGATATAGGGATTAATAATCTTGTAAATAGGTACCTACCTCAGATATACGTCTCCACTCACTTGACCGTTTTTATCTGTATCTATCGCATGTTTTTATGACTTATTAGTTATTACTATTTAAACTCACATTTTTTTACTCTTTCGTTAAAAAGTAAAATCTGATACCGTATCAAATTCATAATTACATATTGTAATAACAATTGTATTGGGTATATCATACAATCATCTGAGTATCTGACTATACAACCAATCCATAGCCATAGAATTCAGTGTTAGTAAGACTTATTTCAGAACTACTCTAAAAGAAGTTAGACCATTCTAAATAAAAAGAATATTGCTAGTAGTTAATTGGTTTTAATTTTTGGTTTTACAGTTTTAGACCATAATTACACATTGCCTTTTACTATATGTCGTCTATTTACCAGAAAATTACAAATTAAGGTTGGAAATTTAACAAAAGAACTGGGGTGAAAAAATAGTTAGTTACAATTTTTATTATAATATATTATAGATCGTCTATAAATTATAATATGATGGAACGTAATAAAAATGAAAAAAAAAATAAGTAAATTATATACCTAACCGCACAGTGTCAGATTACACGTAGCCACGTGGGTACGAGAGGCMACATTATGTGTTATCCTCACATTATATACCAATAGAATATATTAGATTATATAATTACTCCGTCAATCGATTAGAATATTGTTCGACCATTTTATTCCTTTTAAACTGAAGCGCATTTCAATCGGAAAAAAGTTAAATGTATAATGGAAATAACATAACAACTGTTTCGGATTRACGTGGACTGTATTTATGAATAAATGAATTAACGCACCTTTTAAATAATGACTGTTTTTATATCAAATAATTGAAATTTCAGAGTCGCTCGCACACGTTATTATATCGAGTTAAAATCGCGACTAAAAGAGAAAATACAAAAAGGTGACCGATAAGCTCATAGCTTCGCGTACAATAATGACACACATATTATATATAACACAATATAAATGATAAGACAAAATCAAACGCCATAGTTGCCGAGGCTTAATTCAAATAAAAAAWAAAAAATCAAACGAACAGTATTTACGATTAGAGCTTCAACAACAATTACTATATACACGTGCACCGAGAATCTACCAATATTTGTAATATTTGTGTGTATCGTTACACAGGTGTTGCGTGCGACCACGTGGAGGGCGGTAGGTACATCGGACCAGAGTTTTTGCTCGGTGGACATGTTTACGATGGGTCGCAAACCGAACAGATCGTCTTGTACCGGCCGGTGTACGTGAGCGTACGTCAGCCGAACTGCAACTCGGCATCAGCGGCTGCGGCGGCGGCTACGGTGGCTGTGCCAACAACGACGACGGCCACGTGAATACGGATGCAAATTCAACGGCGGCGCGTTTATCGATTCATAATTATTATTGTTAAGTTTATAATGTAGTTTATTATTTCTCCAGTCGATGGAGAAAAACGATAGATCCGTCGTGCATTTATTGTGCATGCGTGTTTGTTGCACGTCGACGTCGCGAGAGCGAAGAAAAAACAATTAAATTGTAGTATAGACTTGCCATTCTATATTGTTATTCGCTTAAAATTTCTATCAAAAAGAAATACAAGTGATAAATTATGTTTCCTAATATTTTTTTTTTTTTAAACACAGTAAACATAATAAAACATACCTAAAACATTTTGTAACCCTCTCAATACTACAAAGAAAGTGCCATGAAAGAAAATAAGTACCAACYCTTTAAACTTTCTTCGAAATTGGTGGTGTAACTCTATAATTTTTTTTTTTTTATTGAAACAACGTTTTTATATTTACTATTTGAATTTAGATGTTATACGACAAGTAAATTTGATGATATTTGATTGACGGGAATGGGAAGTCACCAGTGGCGACACCCCGTGAAAAGCAATTTAAGAAGAAAGTAGGTCTCTATAGTTTATGCCAGTTCCTTTTCAAGCGACTGGATGGATTACCTGGAATTTGATTGGATAATAGTTGAGTGATTGTAGAATTTGAATGAGTACTGAATGTCTTGGGTGTGTTTTAGGTGATCATAGCAAGATTATTTAACGTTGGAATTCAGATGTATTTACGAAGTGATTCATTAGTAATATACTATGGAACACCTGATATTAATCGTAAAGATAGAGTGGAATTCCTGTATTGTTCTAGTATTTAATGCTTCGACTGATCCCCAAAATTGAATGCCATAGACCATATTTACCACACATGAGTCTTAAAAGAGCCATACATATTGTTCTTTTGGTTTTTAATATAAGAGCTTTGAGCGGAGTAAGGGTCTAAGAAGGTGAAGTCTCGAGTATTGAGAGCTTTACGCTTGTTTTTTAAGTGGGGACCCCATGTAAGACGTTYTTCAAGAATTAAACCCAGATGTTTAGTTTACGTAGAAGATGGAATTTGTGCATTGTCGATGAAGGTTGTGGAAATTCCAAAGATCGGAACTCTATATAATATACCGTATATCCCAAAAACAGGGTACACTTCATTACTCATTACCCTGTAAATATATTTCAATTCTATTTGCGGGACATTAAACTAAACTAATCGATCATAAATTTCCATGACTTAAAATTGTTTTAACCCATATATTTTGCGCATGCGCAACAAAAATTCATTTGTTTTAAGTGGCAACCCCTATTTAAAATATCATTTTCGGATTGATTGATTTTTTTTAATGAATTTTGATGAATTAACTTATATTGTAAACTCAAAATTGGCTAAATTAAAGCTATAGGTATAATTTAAAAATATTATTAAATTTGAATACTTATTTATTTATTTTTAATTGTTCGGATTATTTACTATTTATTAATTACATTTTATTATTACACAATTATAAAATAACATAATTTAAATAAGTATTTTTAAGAAACAAAATTCTAAATTTCTTATTTTTTTTAAACAATACTATAGATTTTTATTAACAGAAATTATAAACATAAACTAATCAATAAATTGTTCGAAAGTTCCTCCGTTGTGTAGAATTTGTAAGTAGTTAAATCGACATTTTCGAACATGTGTAACAATAAAATGAAATAATAATTTACAGATAGTAAATAATTTATTTTTTATTTATTTGGTTACAATAGGGTGCTTTAAAGTAAATAATACAAMAAATTAAAAAAAAAAWTTAATTTAATAAGATTTTTAAATTATACCTATACCTATAATTTAGATGATTTTGATTTTATAAAAAAAGGCAATTTATCAAAATGTCTTGAAGAAATCAATCAATCCAAATATTATATTT